ACTGTATATATATATAGAGAGAGAGAGAGAGAGAGAGAGTTTTGCATCATACACACACACACACACACACACACACACACACAATCAATTAATACAATTAATACATTTTTAGCATTTTTAAATGCTAAAATGTAAAACATATAAAATTATTATAATTTAACTAACTAGCTAAAAATCTGTTTTAATAAAAATGTAGCCAAAACAGCTAAGAAAGGCTAGAAGTAAAATATAAAAAAATTAAATATTAACATTTTAAATAAATAAAATTAAATATAAACATTAAACCTGTTTAAAACTATTTAGGTTAATATCAAAATAGATATAAATAAATTTTTCAAATAAAAAAATGAAGCTGAACTTAATTAAAACATTATAAACTACTTAAAATATGAAAAAAGTATTAAAAATTTAATTTTATTGTAAATAAATAAATTTAAATGTAGCTGAAACAGCCAACAACAACCACAAAAACATATAAAAAAAAATGTATTAATTAAAAAATATTAAATAAATAATAATAATAAACATGAACACTAACCAGTTTAAAACATTTGACGTTAATTGCAAATCAGATGTAGCTGAAACAGACTGAGATATGGCTTGTAGAGGAGCACATACCATCACAGTAGTTCACAGCAGGCCTGTCTTGAAAGGTTTATGATGCTAAAAATCAATTTCTTGCTGGAGAAAATGTCTTGGGTTTTAAGCATCTGAGTACGCTATCAAAAAGAGCCTAGGTATTTTCCTGTGGTGGCTTTCATGGCTTCAGGCCCAGCTATTGTAATCTGAAAAGAAAAGAGAAACATTAAAAACTGAAAAATTTAGATTAAAACAAAACAAAAACAAAACCAAAAAGACACAAACAAACACAAGTTTACCACAAATCTGCAATGGTTTAAAAAGCTTATAGTAAGTCAGTATTAAACATTCATTTATTTAAAGCTATAGCACATACAAAAATATCTATCATTTTATCTCCTCCTTAAAAATAATTGGTGATAATAATGATTTGTTAAAGCAATATTACAGCTATTTATTAATCTTTTTACAATTTTACTTCTAATTTAAGTTCCTCAGCAAAACGTAAGCCAAGAACAGCTTTAAATGAACAGGTTTGTTTTGGTTTTATCCAGTTTAAGGGCTAGTTTAGATGAGATTAGACTGTGACGGGTTGTTTACCTTGTAGAACGAAGGCCTGTAAATACAGCTACCACCATCCTCATCAGCTCTGAGGTCAGCTGGGGTCATTTAGAGGTCATGTGGGGGGCGGGCTGTTTAGTGGACTATAGAGACGGTCATGTGACCAGAAGGGGGAAGAAAGAGCAAAAAACAGCAAGCAGAAATCCCCAAAAAAGAACCAAGGTCAAAAAAGTCACCGCTTACATTATTCAATCTTAAAATATCAAATATGACAATATGTGGAATTACTTTCCATGTGCAACAGTACTGTATCTATCGAGTCTAGCAAAGTTGCCATTAATAAAAGAGTGTGATTAAAGATATATTAGTGGATAATTAACTTCTACGAGAAAGTAGCTTTCATATGCTTTACCACAGAAGAGTCTCATGTGTTTTCAAGTGGAAAGAATTAGAACAGATAATAAGGTAAGTTTGTAATTGCAAATTTATTTCAAGCTGCTGGGTACAGTATATTACAAATAAATGTAATTGTGCCAGCTGCAATTCAATTGAATTCTACTGTCAAAATAGTTACATGTATCAGATTAATTTTTGAAAGAAATACTAGAAATTCAGAGGGGACAAATATACTTTTTGGTTTATTTTCACTTTTATGTGAGCTTAAAGGATTTATTGTTTTCCATTTTATTTTCCTCATCATAAGATACTGTACGCTACACTTTTGATGATAACACACAGCAGATGTTAGTTTAGATTATGAAGTTTTACCAAAGTAAACAAGGACAACATGTGCTCTCAAACACAACGATATTTTTTTCTTTCAAAAAGTTTATTTTATAATCAACTGAGACGAGAATTAAAGGGCTTACACAAGCTTACAAAGATTATAGCTCTTAACAGAAATGTATTAAACTGCCACCACCAGTACCACAATAATTTTCATTACTATCACTTTTTAAACTTCAGCATACATTTGATTAGGCTTTTAATAGTGTTATAAAACAGTACTAGTTAATCTTTAGTCAACAGTATTTGGTTTAGAAATGACCATAGCACTTTGCTGTGCACTTAAAATGCATTACAACAAGTTTTCATGGATACACAATGTGCCAAAAACCGCTGTCTTGCACAAGCAATGCTTCGGTTTAGTCTTTTCTTGTTTGTTAAATGCTCTGTCGCTATTTTTAACCCATCCGCACTATATAACATACTAATGGAAAGCCAACATTAGTGCCGTATAAAGGCTTATATGGGCTATAATGCATTAGAATTGCACAGTGAAGTCATATCTCAACTGAAATGATGAAATTGAATTGGGAATTTTAGTCAATTTAGGATTAACTGCCCAAAATGGTCAATTCAGACGCTCTTCAGAAGGTCTAAAAGTAGATCGCTCACTAGAAGAAAACACCTATTACCACAGAGCTCATTAAAGGGTTTAAACGCTCAACACAAAAACCAGACAAAACTATGCAGGCTTTTCTCATCGCAACTGAAACTGCACATAATAATTTTTTATTTTTCACGACATGCTCCTATAAGCCCTTTAACGCTGAAGAACTTTCCATTTAGAAAAGAGAAAGGAAGGAAAACAACATTTGCACTGAGATTTTCTTTTACTTTTTTTTTTTTTTTCTAGTAAAGGTCAGATTTACAAGGGACACATTGAAGCTGATCACCCATCAAAAAAAAAAGTATCTACAAAAACTGACCTGCTAAATCTAAACATCGTACTCCTCATATAACTCCGCCCCTAACCGCTAGTGCCCGCCTCCCTCCCAATTCTGATTGGTTCTCTGATTCAAACTACATAATCCAGTGATCCGTAATGTTCCGTTTGTGGGGGTCGTCCAGAATCAGTTCCACAGAAACGTAATTTTACCCATCAGCTATTTTTGTCGTTTTGGTTGATTTTATTTGCAAAAAAAGAAATAGAGTCCATAGATTTTACTTTTTTTTTTTTCTCTAGTTAAAGGTCAGATTTACAAGGGACACATTGAAGCTGATCACCCATCAAAAAAAAAAAGTATCTACAAAAACTGACCTGCTAAATCTAAACATCGTACTCCTCATATAACTCCGCCCCTAACCGCTAGTGCCCGCCTCCCTCCCAATTCTGATTGGTTCTCTGATTCAAACTACATAATCCAGTGATCCGTAATGTTCCGTTTGTGGGGGTCGTCCAGAATCAGTTCCACAGAAACGTAATTTTACCCATCAGCTATTTTTGTCGTTTTGGTTGATTTTATTTGCAAAAAAAGAAATAGAGTCCATAGAAAATCCATTACTTGGGAGGGCACATGAAGGACTGTAGCAGGTCAGAACCGGGAATACGGCTGCTCTCTGTACACTCCTTTGCTTGTCCTTGCTGGTGGCGCCTTGTTGCGGTTGTTTGTCCATTCCTCCGGGCCTGAAGAGGGAGACAAAGAGCAAAGGTCAGAAAGCTCATTAGTCATTCAGGCCTTGTTAGAATGCTTTAATTAGTGCAGTCTGTAATGAAACACACTCATTAAACGCTGAACAACATTTGTGAGACCTTCACGCAAATGCATGTTTCATAGGCTAACAGTGACGTGTTTGAATGCATACTCTAATATATTTTAGTCAATGAAATAGGTATGTGTGATGGTTGTGTATATTGCATGGTCGATACCATGTGATAAATTGACAATTGACAGTAATTTTTATGAAACTTGACATTTAAAAAGCTTTACAGAATAACCAAGATTTTGAAATGAGGTGAAAATATTACAATTGTCATGTTTTGATGGCATGCTGAAAACCTGTCAAGAATATGCCCAGATCATATTTCCCCCCAAAAAGAAATTAAAAATATTCTGAATCATGAAAAAAATAAGCATATTTTAAAACAAATTACACTATTTTGCATTGGGATGCATTTGCAGTGTAAAAAAAAATACATGCAATTTAAATAGTAAATTATTAAAACACTGCAATACTTGCCTTTAATTTACTTGTATGCTGACATTAATTTAAAAATCACGTATTACCGTATTGACTCGAATATAAGACGATGTTTTTTTCTTGGAAATACATCTGAAAAAACGCGGTCGTCTTATATTCAGGGTCTAGACTTTGACATGTCAATAATACATTCACAACAATAGGTGGCGCCAAATACGCATAAAACGAGTGTGCCATGAAATACGTAATGTAATGCGTGTCATAAAGATCGCGAGTAAAAACAAAAGAAAAAGAAAACCTTACAGCTGCATGAGTCGTGACTGTCACGTTAGCCTGATGGGACCAAACTCTCTTTGTGATTTTAAAACGTAAGACAGTACCCAGATTTGAAGACTACAGTAAGATTTAACTTCTACTGTTTATAGGATATTGGTGGGCTACTATTAGATGGATAGCCTAAATGTCCTAATTCAGATGGGCTACCCGTTTTTTTTTTAATGGTATATCAAAAAGTGTATATTTTTTAAAATGTGATTGTTGGGTTTCCAAAATGTAATAATCAATCTTTTGATGATGACTTTACTTCTTCAGTAGCCCCTTATAATTTAAAAAATTCAAGTCATCATTTTTGAAAAATTCATATACATATATATATATATATATATATATATGAAAGTATGAAAATACTGAAATAATTAGCATGTATTGCTTTATTTATTTATTTGCTGTAATGCAACGTTGAGTGTGTTTCTGTGAGATTCACTTGTAGAGTGTAATTTCTTTGTGAGTGTGTGTTAAACAGGTTCTTTGCTCTTCCTCCCAAGAGGACACTGACAGTGATTTGCTGTCGAACATGCAGCAATCCAAAGCACCTTCAAATGTGATTTTTACACAACAACATCAATCTTTAAAATAACAAAGCCCAAGAGTCACGACACCATCCACTATCTTCCTCTCCGAGCTCATGGCACTTCTGATAATTTCGCCCAACTAACACTGACAATCAGAGAGAAACGTCCCCAAACTATCCTGCCTTTGTCCTTCACCTCAGAAAGAACAAAACAACTTTAATTGCAGCAGAGGATCAAATAGCCACTTGAAAGGGGTTTAGTGGAGTGCCCTCGAGCGAGAGGTTACCGCCGCCATTAGCGTAACAGCAGAGCTCATTCACGAGCGTCCGTGTCGATGAACGAGAGCGCTATCGATGCTAGCTTTTGTGTGATCTTGCTCTTTTTCAGCTCTTCTTAGGGACAGGAAGGCACAAAGGCCATTGCTCTAAAGACATTTGTTTTTTCAGGCTGGGAGCCGTAGCCAATAATCTTTAATTAGAGAGCTGTCAATCTCAGGTTAGCCTGCGCTGGCTTCAAGAAAAGGGTTCATGCGCACTGTCCTTGCGTTTAGAAAGAGCAAGGATGTGCATCAGCCAGATAATAGGGAGATCTCCTTTGAACTGTCAAGCTGTCTATGCGTTGTACCACCTGGAAAAGTGTTAAGTTGAGTGTTATGGATTGCTTATGTGTGTGTCAGTGTAGAGCTGTGTGTTTCAAATGTGGTCGCAAAGTGACAAACGACAGGAAAGCGACATGGAGGAAATGTGAAAGACGACGAGAAAATGTAAAGTCACTTTTAAGACGCAATTACACAACCATTTCCATTTTTGTCAAATCAGTTCTGTAGTCTAATTTAAAGTTCAGTCATGTCCAAACAAGCCATCTAACATTGTTACATCTCATTTCCTTGTGCTTTATTATATTTATTTACTGAGTTTGATAACACAAGCACCGCTATTGCTAGTTCTTAATCTTAGACAGGTTTACTTTTGAACCTGGTGTAAGATAAATAAACAAAGACTTACATCACATGTCTATATTTATTACGGGAACATTTCTTTGTTAAGGTGGAAATGTCACCACTGATGATTTATTTATTTTTTTACCCTTTTACTCTTTTTTTTAAATCATAGTTTGTAAAATATAATCATTCATATTTTATATATAATGAAATTGTTAGAACCCGTGACAGATCTGAAAATATTGACCTTTTTTGCCTCCAAAACATGATTTAATTTCATAATGCTCATGAAACATGCAGATGGTTGCTCTGAGCACAACAAATATCAGATGAAGTGAGTCGTACTGATTTTATCCACTTTTAACTTTAATATTTTTATATTTTCAACAAAAACAACTGAAACCTCTTAAATATGACAAGTGTTATAACAATTTTGGCCACCACTGTATACAGTGGTGTGAAAAAGTGTTGGCCCCCTTCCCGTTTTGTTTATTTTTTGCATATTTGTCACACTTAAAAGATTCAGATCATCAAACAAATTTTAATATTACACAAAGATAATGCAAGTAAATACAAAATTTATCTTTGTGTAATATTTAAATTAGTTTGATGATCTGAAACATTAAAGTGTGACAAACATGCAAAAAAATGAGAAATCAGGAAGGGGGCCAACACTTTTTCACACCACTGTATATAATACATAATATTAATGAATAATAATTAGTATTAAAATAATAATATGTAATACTATATTTATAATTATATAATAAAATACACAATTTAAATGTAGAAATAATACATAGTACCTAGTATTAAAATAACAATTCATATTTATAATGTCTTTATGATAATTTGTATTTTAATGAGGAATTTACATATTTTAAAAGTAACATCTGGGTCTGGATCAAGAATAAAACATAAAATAAAAATCGTAAAGTCTATAAATAGGTAGGCATTTGGAAAGCAGAAAAAAAATTAAGACATGGTAAAACTTTCCAAAGTTTTAACATAGCCTTCATATAACAAAAAATTCTAGGACATAAAACTGACCTGAAGAAACCTATAAAATGAAAGTTTTAAAACTATATGCTGAACAAAACTAGGTTTTGATTCTGATACAAATATCTCTTATAAATAATACAATTGTAAACATGCACACGAATGCATCAATCTGAGAAACTGCCCACAGATACATCTGTACATACACACTAAAAGCACACACACATTAATATTCTAGCTGCTGAGAAATACAATGGCACGTCTTATCTTTTTTGCTTGGACAATGAGCTTACAAAAGCTACATCAGCAGTTTCAGAGAATTGCAATTCTTCTTCAGATATCTCTGCCATATTTCTGCTATTTGTCCGTAACCGCAAATTTGTTTGCCTTTCACAGTGCGCGTGTCCGACAGCATTTTGATTATTTTGCTTCATCCGAACCTGTCTCCCTTCAACATTCATTGTAAATGCCTGTTCATGTAAATACAATACACTGCAACCAAAAGCCTTGCAATGCCAGCAGTATTTATGACAAGAGCTGTACAGCAGGAGCTATGCGTTCTTTGGGCAAAAGACAGACTCAAAGTTCATGCACTAACTGGAAGTATTATGAAACAAAAAACAACAACTCTTACCGTAAGAGTCATATGATTCTCCGCTGATACCATGGCTGTATTCATAATAATCATCTGAACTGTGAAAAGAAATGAGACATAAATTTAGAAAGGTCTTCTTAAGATATACAGTATATGTAAAGTGCAGGGTATATATGATTTCTCATATACAGAAATGTAATTAAAAATCTCAGAAATTAGACACATATTCAGACCAATCCTATATAAAAATATATGCATACAATTTAAATGCTATTCATTGTAAATGCATTAAGCAAAATAAAAGTAATGTTGTGTGACTGGCTGTAAATATGATCCATTTTTAATGATCCATTGTCCAAAAAAAAAAAGAAAAACTTTCAGTTGGCACTGTATGTGTTTGTATGTGCATTTATATACAGACAGAGGAAACGAAAGTGAGAGAAAGGTGATGAGAGTTTATTTTATTTATTTGACATTGTCTGCTCCCTATTTAAATTGACAAAGCAACATCTCAGCAGCCATATGAAGCAGAGTAACCCATCGGAGAAGCTATTTTCCGAGCAGATTTGCGGTGCGCCTTCCTTTCATTCCTGCGTCTCAGAAGTTTTGCTCCTGGGTCTCTGTTCCCTTTCTGCCTCCAAATTGAGTTTTTTTCCCATAGGCCCTCAGCTGAGCTGTCCAGTGTCAATCACAACTGACTGCAAACCATATCCCGGTGTAATTCCACTGGCCTCAGTAAGGATGGCGCCATGAGAAATAGAAGCCTTGCTGGAAAATAAAAAGATGCTCTCCAGTTCTCTTAGCTTTCACTATTGAGGATTCTTCCGATTTTGACATTTCTATTCTATTCTATTCTATTCTATTCTATAGCAAGTCCTTCATGCTTTGTTTTATATCATCTTCCTTAATTTCCATAACTCCTACCATAATTTTCATAATAACTCCTTTCAGTGTTTCCCATTATTGTGGCAGCCGGCCATTGCGTTATCTGTCCCACTACAGTTCCATAATGAACACATTTTTTTTTACACTTGTCTAAACAATATAAAAAGTCTCTAACATTGTGTTTTGTGCTGTTGCCTTGGCGAAGCATCTGTCAATCAAACTAAAATGTAAATAGTGATATGGTGCAGTGCACTTATCAAAATGCAAAAGGTTTAAAGTCATTAGTGATTTAAGAACATTTACTCGGTCATGCTGCAGAGTTTCGGAGTGAAGCACAGCACTGTGTTCATGTGAGCAGCTCATTATGCTTTTCGGTTGTGTCACAGAGAATGCAGCAAGCTCAATCTCTGCATGGGTTGTGAGTTTAACATGTATTTGCAATGCAACATGCACCAGTTATGCTTTATTTCATTATTTCATAATTCCTCCCTTCTCTCCAATCATACAATCATAACTCCTCCCCCATTCCAATTATGCCATCATAATTCATTATCTTCAATCAGTCACAATATTTTAACTCCTCTCCATTCCAATCATAATACTATAACTCATCCCCTCATTTCGCTCATACTATCAAAACTCCTCCCCTTACTACAACTCCTAATACTATAACTCCCCCTCATTCTAATCGTACCATCATAACTCCTCCTCCCATTCAATCATACTATCATAACTCCTCCCATTTCCATTCATACTATAACTCCTCCTCCATTTAATCATACTATCATAACTCCTCCCATTTCCATTCACATTTTAACTCCTCCTCCATTTAATCATACTATCATAACTCCTCCCTGCATTCCAATCATACTATCATAACTCCTCCCCTCAGTCCTATCATGTTATCATAACTCCTGCCAATTCTAATCATATTATCATAACTCCTCCCCTCATTCCAATCATACTATCAAAACTACTAGCCCTCATTCCAATTATACTTTCAAAACTCGTCCCCTAATTCCAATCATACTATAACTCCACCACCATTACAATTATGCCATCATAACTCCTCCTCTTGGATCAATCACAATACTATAACTCCTCTCAATTCCCATCATAAAACTATAGCTCCTCCCCTCATTCCAAACATACTATTAAAACTTCTCCCTTTCAATCAATCATAGTATCATAACTCCTCCTCCATTTAATCATTCTATAATAACTCCTCCCCGTATTCCAATCATACTATCGTAACTCCTCCCCCTCATTCCAATTACACTTTCAAAACTCCTCCCCTATTTCCAATCATACTATAACTCCGCCACCATTTTAATTATGCCATCATAACTCTCTCTTGGATCAATCAAAATGTTATAACTCCTCTCCATTCCAATCATAAAACTATAGTCCCTCCCCTCATTCCATTCATACTATCATAACTCCTCCCCTCATTCCAATCATACTATCAAATCTCCTCCCCTTACTACAACTCCTAATACTACAACTCCCCCTCATTCTAATCGTACTATCATAACTCCTCCTCCCATTCAATCATACTATCATAACTCCTCCCATTTCCATTCATACTATAACTCCTCCTCCATTTAATCATACTATCATAACTCCTCCCATTTCCATTCACATTTTAACTCCTCCTCCATTTAATCATACTATCATAACTCCTCCCATTTCCATTCACATTTTGACTCCTCCTCCATTTAATCATACTATCATAACTCCTCTCTGCATTCCAATCATACTATCATAGTTCCTCCCCTCAGTCCTATCATGTTATCACAACTCCTGCCAATTCTAATCATATTATCAAAACTCCTACCCCTCATTCCAATTATACTTTCAAAACTTTGCCATCATAACTCCTCCTGGATCAATCAAAATAATATAACTCCTCTCCATTCCAATCACAAAACTATAGTCCCTCCCCTCATTCCATTCATACTATCATAAGTCCTCCCCTCATTCCAATCATACTATTAAAACTTCTCCCTTTCAATCAATCATACTATTATAACTCCCCCCCCCCCCCCCCCCCCCCCCCCCCCCCCCCCCCATTCTCTAT